ACCACTGTGGTGTAATCACCACAATGGACGGGGTAATTGACTATTCCTCTACTGGTCTTGGTAATGTGGAAGTAGTGGTGATCTAGTTGTTGAGATGTAGGGGAGTATAGGAATAATCTTCTAATGGGTTGACTGGTGGTATTAATACCCAAAATGGGCAAGGGTTCTGCTAACTAATGCACCTCTAAAGCGTCCTGCAGCTGGTGGGTTGATTGCTGCAATGGTTTCGTGTTACTGGCTCAAAAGCACTCCAAGGGCTGAGGAGCATAAGACAATCCGCAAAACAGCACAAAAACCAAGATGCTCTCCATTCCTGAGGAATGCCCCGTCTAAGGCCAAGGCGGGCCTCAGTGCGTCCTCAGAGTCAGCATCCGGTGCTCGAGTTGCAAAGCGCATCTTTGCCCTAAGCCCCACACCTGAGCGCGCCGAATGTGGACCGGTGTCAGCCTTACAACATCGGATTTAAGGCAGCTTGGCTCTGATTGCTGACAGCTGCTGTAGCGCAACCACAAGATTTGTAGCACTTCCACTGTACAAACAGCACCGTTGGAACAATGGCAGCTGTCTTCTACACTGCGAGCAAGGCAGCTGGATTGTTTCACAGTGCCTGGAAAATCATCTGCCAACAATCGTATTTCTCCAGGCAGCGGCGTCTTCAACCACTCCCTGAAATGCCCTCATTCCGAGAGCACTGCAGCTAGCACTCGCGCAGGGCGCAAGATACACAGGATGGAAGGAGTCTCCGAAAACCCTTCCAATTCGAAGCCGATGCCCAAAGAAGCGAAGGAATTCAATACACATGGCGAGCTTCACCTCATCACAGCGCTTGGGGAGGGACCGACACTTGCGGAGTATGAGGTGGAAAGCATCTTGTCTGAGCCTACGGTTGGAGAATGTTGGTGGTTTCCATAATATTCCAGCCGGGCAACAGTCGCTGATGCACCTCACTGGCTCTGAATGAAGTCCATAGCAAGAAGACAAGCTGCCATCAACTACACACACGCGCGTACAATCACCAACACAGCTGAGACTAGGCAAAAAGAAGACAGCTAAGGGCTAAGGACACCTTGTTGCCAAGACACATGTCCATGAACCGAACGGTCTCAACACTTGGGCCACACCTGCCCTCGACGGTGCTGTGGATGAGCTGCTGGGCGTGCGTCTTCCTGAAAAATCAACGGCATCAATAAATCGATGCGTCCTTGTTCCTGCGAACAAGCAGATCTCGCATATGCCCTCCTTTCCAAGCCAAGTGTCGCAACGTCATAAACGAGCTCACCGGCTTGAAGCCACGCGTCGCTGTCTGACTGGGCCTAGCGTAGCATGACTTGGGACAACATTTCAGTCCTACAAGCAAAATACTAGGCCCTCCTATGCTTATATTCACACATATATCTTGCTACTGTTTATCTGGGAGGTTTGAACCCTTCTGCAAGCGCTAGTTAGCAACAAAGTATCTAAGGCCAACCTACTTTGCCCCTGGGCGTTGATACATATGTCGTTGAGATCCCCATCCCTTGACAAGGCCTTGGATAGACCTTGCCGTCGATTCTTCCATTGTTGCTTGGCCAAGATCCACAGAAGCTGAGGCAGCGGGAGCCGGGAGCTATGCATGGCAAGAACCGACACGTAAATGACAGTAGCATCGCCCTAATGCTTCCAAATGCAAGATGACGACTCTGTTTGCCAGCCTGCAGCAATCGCTGATCTCTGAGATAGCGGAGCTTGGCAGAGCCGTGAAGCGCCCCTGACAGCCACGCCTTCGCTCGTGAATCTCTGAAATTAGAGGCTGAAAAGCATTACAGAGCAAATAAGCTTGCGTCACTCAGTCTTGCCAGCCCTCGCCTGTAGCACTCTCCAAATCAGCCGAAAGATTGCCTGTCAGCTCTAGCGGTAGCAGTCATCCAAGGCTTCAGAATCCAAAGCTGCGAAGGATTGTCAAAATAGCATCTGACTCCGTCGTTGAAGTCCTGTTCCGGCGCGTGCAAAAGACATCTACCAGGAGGGTTTCTGGTGGATAAACACCTGATGAGATGAGATGGGGAAGCGCAAACTCATCACACATGCTGCAGCCAAGCTGCTGAAAACTTCGAGTGGGCACGGATGAGGTCGCGAGTTACCATTTGCTGCAAGACCCTGCTGTCCCCCTCGGCAAATCGACAGCCTGGCAGTCACCAAAGCTTCAAAGGAAAAGTTGATCGGATTGTGTCTTATAGTTTAAAGGCCCTCGTGCCGCCAGTAAGCAAAGTAAAATGTCGCTGGATCCGAAGGGTGAAGCGGCCATTAGGCCGAAGGAGCCAACCTCGATTGCACAACGAATCAAAACGTTCACAGGTGGCCCTGCTTTTCGATCAAGACATGGTTTGAACATAGCTAGGGATGCCAAGCCACATCCCGGCGCAGCAGCGCCAGTGACTTGATGGCAAAGTCCACTGCCTCGACCTGCATGCGGATTGATGGGATAGAATAATTATCATGCAAGCGGCAGGCGCAAAGAGTCACACACCCAGAGCAGTCAAAGGAGCAGGAGCGGAAGGAGGAGCAGGAATTAAACAGTAACTACCAGTAATGATTCCATAGAGTTTGCATTTTGCACTTGGCCTGCCGGTGTCAAGTTACAACCGTCATGTGATTTGTTCCTCTCGTAAGTTGTGCCATGGCCCATGCCAAAACCCATCAAAAACCCAGTACCCCCGTTGCTGCCTCTACTTCTGGCTTGGCACCCGAGACCCGTGGAGCAAGGCACAGAGAGGCCTACAACTAGCTACAGCCCAAAGAGATGCCCATCCATGATGACAACCACCAGTCCCACGCCGCCACCTCCACAGCCAGCGAGATAAACGTGATGATTCTGAAGTGATGATGATGATGATGATAAGCATATTAGTAATTAAATGATAATGATGTGGTGGCGGCGGCGGCGGTGGCGGCTGCGGTGATGGCAGCGGTATTGGTGGCGGCATCGGCAGTGGTGCCTGTGGTGCCCGCGGCCGGTGTTGCGCTAGGGGCACTAGGGCGGTGGCGGCGGTGGTGTCGGTGGCGGCGGTCGGTATAGGGCAGGGCTACCTGCGTGCCTTGGCAGCAGCAATCAAGGTCACCAGGGAACGCGAGAGCTCAGAATCCGTCTCGATGGCCTTGGAGGCTAAGACACTCAAAGCATTTCCCCGTCGCCTTACAGAGGACTAGAGCAATTGCCCAGACTATGTTGGGCGCAAAGCTGTAAACGCAACCAATGAGTGAAACCAATGACCGCAGGGGTTCTGAGCCCTGCCTTGGCAAAGTCACTCTGTACCAGGGACAGGAAGGCCTTTCCGAAAGAAGCCAGTAGCTATAGCGCAAAACTGTAGCTGGCAAGGGTTGTGCGCCTTGTGCACTGCAAGGCCCACCTGCAAAAAGCGCCACACAAATTCTCGTGACGGGGATCCCATTGCCAACTACGGCTTGAAACCTCTGACCTGTCATAGTGGACTACACAAAATGCCTGCACGTAGCTTCACTGCGATTCCAATACTCGCACTTTGGTGAAAAAGGTTCGTGTGGACGTGCCTCCACACTTTCCAGGCCCTTTGCCATGTAGGGCAGATCTGCAAGGGGCATCTTTCGCTCCTGCATGGCATCAGTCCGCTTCTGCTCTTCATCCGCAGGAAATTCACCGTGGTGCTTGGGAAGTCCTTGTCCACCCACACGAAGCGGCCCTCAGCATACTTCTTTGTCACAGCAAGGACACCCTCCATGTAGGTGATCGCCTCAACAGTTCACGCGTGATTGGTGCGAGCGTATCGCGTAGCATGCTTCGAGGTACTTACTACTATTTGCACCCCACGCCATTGGCAAGGTTTGATAATGAAACAATGACAGCCGCGTGAGTTGAAAAGCTTTAGTTTTTTGTCTGCTGGCCATGCTGGCTAACACCGACTGAATCGCATGCTTGACCTTTAGCCTATAGGGCAGGGACGGACCCTTGCCACTGGCCGATATGGAGTACGCGATAGTCATTGTGCAACGAGGTCATGGCATGCAGATTCAGGAAATGGCAGCGTCAAGGTTTGCCTCAAGCAGGCGCTTGTCGGAGTTACAGCGGCTAAGATTTTCTAGGATATTTGGCCATCACAGGAGCATACTTACACCAGAAGTTCATTTCAATACCTCATGCCAAAGCATGCCAAAACAAACCAAGAGTCTGAATCGGAAATGCACATGCGCCCAGAGAGCAAGCGCTGCCCAGTCTGTATAAAAGTTGGGGGCCGCTTGCCTAGTGCACGCTCGAGCTCCAGAAAAGGTTGCTTCAAACACCGCTAGAAGCGCGCAGAGGGGACAAAGACAGATCCTGCCTGTGTGGATATAGTCAGCATGCCAGTTGTCGCCACTCCAGCGAGGCTGTACATTGCAGAGTTTTGATAACAGGGCGCTTGCCGGCAGCTGTACGCGATCGAAAGACCTGTTTGGACGGAAAAACTTCCTCTGAGTACTTGCTCGATCCGTTTCTCAAGACTCACAATGCAGGTTATGCCAACTGAGGTTAAGACACCCGAGCATTGTCGAGCGCGTTAAAATTAGTTTTCTCGCCCATACATTCACGCGAGATTCCTGGAGACTGCATGTCCTTAGCATGTCCGGGCAGGATATGCTGGAACGGGAGTCATGATCAGCTCAGCACTGCAGACAGCTGTGACGGATGACCCTTCCTCCATGCCGGACAGGCCAAGGCTCTACAAGGAAAACGTGAGCCCCCATGGACCTGCCAGAAGACTTCACACACACCTTCTGCAACAACCTTGCCAGACGACAAGCTGGTCGCGGCCTTTGGTTGATGACCAGCTGAGCGACAACAAGGCCGTAGTCAGCCACCAAACCTTGTGAGATCCTTGGCACAGCCCATGTCAGTCTTCAAGATGCATTGCTTTATCTGTTTATCTGTGCTTGGATTCCACGCTCCATCTATTAGGCATAACAGATGCAATGCTCACCGGAGCTACTTCATTCTGCGGAATGAATCCTGGCTTGGCTTGTGCATTCTGTCATGTAGTGAGCTTTGGGCCCAGTTGACAATAAGACCAGGACCATGTCTTCTCTGCCGATTGTGTAGGCGAGTGTAACTCGAAACCTCCTGCAGAAGTCCGTATGGCCATGTGATTACCCAACAATTGGTAAAAGTCCCGGCCTCGCCCCTCATCGTCAAGCCAAACCCACGTAGCTACCGTCTCCACGATCAAGCCACTAAGCACACCTCAAAAGGCGATTCAACGGAATGATGCATGCAAACATGCCGCGGCACAGCCAACGACTGACCAATTAAGACACAGAAGAGAAGGAATCTCCATGGCATGGACAGGAACCTCAATTGGGCCCACGTGCCTGCACCAGTTTCCGTGAGCATGAAGCAGCCCAGCAGCCCAGCGCTCTGCGCGTCTTGTAGCCAATCTAAGCTCCACATGCCGTGTAGGCGCATTTTTGCGGCTGTAAGTGCCAAGATGCTTCGCTGTTCCTCGCTTCCCAGTGCCAAAATGGTTCCGCAGAAGAGGTTGTAATGCACCTTATCAGCTTTGTGTTTCAATTGGCTTTGACTCGTGCCGCAAGACATTCCAACATGCTGCAAGGATGCTGTCATGCGAATACCAAGGCAGCAAGAAAGGCACTCCTGCCATGACGCGTTTAAACAGCAAAGGACGTATTCCTAAACATGAAGACGTCGCTGATAAAGTGCCGCTTCCCTAATTTCAAGTCTCCTGCTGGGCCAGCACACGGTGACTGGCGAAGAAGTCAAGCATGCCTTCTCCTTCTCGCACCACAACATGAACCGAGCAAGACTCGCGCAATGTCTAGATGCGCATTAAAGCACTGCTTGACGTCTCAGCCACTGGCGTGTGGTGATACTATCCAAACTCAGGTATCCACCTGCAAGGACGGGAATCGAATCACGAGTGGACTTGCAACAGTTTTGCAAGTTGGAAGTGTGAGGCAGACTGCCGGCCTCTGAGAAGAGTACGCAACAACTCGGCATGTTCAGCCCAAGAAGCATTCTCCTAAGTGTAGCATGAGCTGGCACCGAGGACAAGAGAATCCTAGAGGTTGATGGCCGTGTGTTTTATGGAAGTGGTGCTGCTCTCAAAATCACAGATTGTTCTCGGAGTTTCCTTCTCGCCCTGCTCAATTGGCAGTCACGAGCTCCGCATGTCTGAATTGAGCGACTGACCTGGCCTTCTGCCCTTGAAACACTGGCGTGTGGACACACTTTGATCCGGTCTTTGTTTCTGTCTGTCCAGCAGTGTTCAAAACCAGACCATCCTCCACCGACCCTCAATCCTTATCACCATCGCTATGCGGGAGTACAATGAAATCCGTGAAATCAGGAGATACCGCGCAAAAGGCTAAGGCCATTGCATCTATTCCTTGCCCATAGCCGTTCAATCTATAGTTTCTGCTATGCATGCAATTGTTGCGTCACATGTAGGATACTGCATCTATTTATGCGAGTCAGAACCAGTTACTTGTGATGCAGTCCAATTCGCAGTTTAATGGATTCTTCGCTGTGACTCACAGCCAGCAGAGCATCGCTCTCTTTCCCTGCATCCAAGCCAGTTGCTTCCAAGAGTCGTCTACTTTGCAGGTTCCCAACAGGGACTGGAACTTCTTGAGCAAACAATCTTCACGTCCTGATGCATGTAATCTTGGAGATGTTGGCTGAGCCAGACACATGCTCAAAATACATTAGCTTCAGGTGAATTCTGCGTCAACGCGGATGAATGAATGATCTAGCTCTACTTTCGACCGGGCGACGGCGTAGATCGTTGCTCCTTATGCAGGTCAGTGAAACCAGACATGGCAACATTCAGGGCGAATGTGCTCAACGCACACTAGCTCAACAGCTTAGATGCTGTAGTCGGCTGCATGCCTCTGAACTAGGATCCTCAGCTGAACTCTCAGAGCACCCAATTCCCACTTGAAAAGGCACAGGAGGTAAGGCTCTAAGCGCCCAGCACGAAGAGATTGCAGCCCACTCTTGCCTCGCTGCAGAACTCTCGACCATGGCCAGTGGATGCTGTCCCAGGTCAACAAGGCCTCACGGGAGCATTCTGCATCTGCTTAAAAACGGCACAAGGAGTGCTCAAGGAGGCCTGCGTGGATGCGATAATGGCAAATGCCTCGGGCAGGCATCAAGATCATCAACGCGTACACCCCCAAAAAATCCGAAAATGTGCATGATGGCGGGATGGCTGCATGTGTTACCTACGCAATGCTGGCCCATCTGTGTTGGGCCCTTCGAGCTGCAGCTGCATTGCATTTCCGCGAAGAAACTTGCCATTGCCCACAACATTTCGATTAAGCCAAGTATCGGTGACGAAAGTGCTGAATGCCAAGGTTGCGGTTGCCCATGGAGGCAGTAAAGCCTGTTTTGCTGGAAAGGATGGTTTAATCGAAGCGACGTCTATCAGAAAGTCCAAAGAATCATGATGCAGCCGAGCATCCAGGACAGTGGAAACTGCTGCCTCAACCACAATCATGCTGATACAGATGCCAAGATCTCGCGCTCACTTACGCGTCAACCAACGTGTGACATCAGGCAACTCGTCCGTTCGCTCTTGCTGCAGAACGCTCAAGCACTGTGAAGTCTGAAGCGTCTTAGCTGATGCAAAGACCATAAATTTCGCTCTGCGAGAAGAGGCCTGCCTCTTCCAGCTGTAGGGCAGTCCAGCCATGAGGGGATAGGCTATGCTCCATCGCACATGCAAGACGGTGGTTGTTCGCGTCAATTAGCTTTCTGCACTCAGCATGTTTCGCTGCAGGCACTCTGAAAAGATGTACGATCTGCACAGACAAGGCTGTGAACACTAGCCGCGGCATACCTGTCGTACGCTGTGTTTGGCGTAGTATCTTACAGCAAGCTGTACCAATTGAGGGTGCTTCAACCTGGCAATCTGCAAAGAAACACGTGACAGCGGACAGATCGTACAAAATCAGACATTCAAGACTTGTGCAAAGTCTGTTGCAAGGCTCTCGTGGGCCCTTAGGACTAAAAAATGAGCTGAGGCTGTATCACAAGCCGTCCTGAGAAATGGTAGAGGCTGGGCACTTGACAATGTCCAGCCACGGCAAACTTCTCGACTCCTTTGATCCCTTGGTCTGATTTACCATGGGAGCTGTAGGGGAAGCTTGAAATTTCTAGGCAAATCATCTGGGATCCCCACCACCCTGCCAGACTCAGGAAGAGCCTTAGATTTGCTGTTCCGTCCTCTGTGAAGTTGAGTTTTCTTTGCCGAGGCATCTGCAGGGAACGGTGGCGCTCGAGTGAAGGACTCGCCCGACAGCCGGGGAAGGATCTAAGATAGGACCGATGAGCTGCCTAGCTATTCACCATGGGCCAGTACCAATGAGTCACCAAGGCTCATGCCGGAACTGCATTACCAGTTCGATCTGACATCACCTGCCAGCCAGAGGAGGAAGCGCACTAAACTGAAACTGGAGTGCAAAGCTTGCCTGCTTGCACACTTCTCATGGCTGTGAGAAGAAGCAAACAGCCCGGTGTTGAGCCAGAACTGACGCGAAGAAACTTTCACCAAACATGCACTGCTTCCTTGCAAGCGCTGCATGCATCTGTCCTCCTTGCTTGCGAGACCTCACCTGTACCAGGCAGTGACACATGCCGCGGGTCAATTCAGATTTTTGCGGAACGCTGGACAGGTTCATTAATGCAATTTACGCAGCTGATCTGCCCAAATTGACCAGTCTAACAATTGTCGAGCATATTCGAGCATACTGTAATAGAGCGCATTTACATTCCTCAAGCACTTCACTATTGGCTGCTGCTTTGGGTACCTTAGAGCCGTCCTGAATGCAATTCTTCCCTTCTGATTGTTCTAAGGCAGGAGGGGTTGGACTGGAAGTCAGACAATGAGGGCGCAGCTGCTCATCTACTCGGCAGCTAGTCAACTCTTGGGAAGCCAATTTCACGGGTGTTGTCAAAGAAGTTGATTACACGAACCTTGGAGAACGTTTTCAGCAGCAAGCGGTTTCTTGCTTGCCGCCATGTCTCAGGCTTTCCCTATGCCACCTCTAGAACATCATGGCTGCAGCTTGCAGATGCCAGATTCTCAGAAGGGAGCCTCTTTAAGCACTCCAACAACTCCCCAATCCTCAAGGCTACAGCTGTCGACCGGAAAGCGTCAGGCCACCTTCCAAGTGTTCCGGTATGTTGGTGATCCTAGAGCGCTCGAACACCGATCATTCGCTGCTCAGAGGACTTGCTTCTGCCCTGGTCGCCTGGATGAGATTTCTCCACATGCACATAGTGGCCTTCTTCTTACCGGACAAGAACATTCTGCGGCATTCTGCGACCAAGACAGGAATCCCAGAGACTGCACTCCTACTGCAAGGCCGGCTGCAAAGCCTTTTGGCACAGCCAGCCATGCAAGGGCTAAGGCGGCTAAGGGCTGTCTTTTTAAGCAACCTGAATGCATTTATCTTTCTGTAGGATGCTTGCTGGAAAAGACAACCCTCAGCTATGCGTAGCAATGTGCAGTGCCGTGGAGCACCAGCACAACCCGATTCAATCTGCCATGCTAGTTCACTACTGGTAACTTGAGATGCCAAACTGTTCTAGGGTCGACATGTGTGAGTGTGTTTCAACATATTTGCGTGTGTCTGCAGATTGGTTCGGGCAAATTGTCGAGGACCTTGTGGAACTACAGCCTTCTCTTCAGATGAAGTGGGCTTCAGTCAGAAAGCTAGGCTAGGAGTTCATGTCACCTGACACGGGCGATTCTACAAGGTCCGTTGACCTAAACCGGGCACGGCCTCAAGAGGCAAAAATCGAATTCCCCAGAAGGCCTGCAAATCGATTCATTTGCTCCAAAGGAGTCGGCTGCAACATGAAAAAGAGCTAGTCCAGTGAACGGCCGGACGTCAAGGACGGAGCCCGTCCTCTTAGCTCTGCTCAGCTTCTCTGAAGGATGTCAGCCCTGCCCAGGTGCAGATGGAAGAGTCAGCTGTCCCTCAAGTGCTCGCTAGCGTCAAACTTTGCCACATCCTAATTTCGGCTATTTGGGTGCCATTGGCCAGAATCAGAAAGCATCTGGTCATAGTGCGAATGAAGGCTTGCAGCAAAAAGGGTTGTCCTCTCACCTAACGATGGTTTGTAGGAAGAACACAAGACGTTTCCCCACCATGCCGAAGGCACGAGCGTTTCTCGGAAGCTGCCTTCAAGCCCAAGCACGCCAGCCTCAGTCTTCCACTGAAAGACGGCATGTCCCACACAGAGCTACCGTCTCATCACACCTTGAGCAATGCAAGAATAGCTTCTTTCCAGGCTGCAGGCGTATCGGGCGGCTGGAAGGGGCACGGTAAGTCCTGCACGACCACTTGTACCCGAATGCTCACATCGCTGGCTACTTCGGGCAGCATGCCGGGGAAGCTTTCCAGAATCAGCTTGAACAGGCAAACTCCTCGGCTTTAGGTGAGAGCCAAGGGGAGACAGCCGGCGATGACGAAACACCCATCGGAGCCCTTAGCATGCCGCTCGACATGCCAAAACCCTGATTCTGATCATCTGCACTTTGCAGCTCACCGGGCCCAGGACGATTGAACCCAGGCTCCTGTTGCGGAAGCACTTCTCTTCATCTTGCAAGGCTCTAAGCCTGCAGAAAAAATCTACAGCGATCCAAAGCGGCTAGACATGGTTCAAAATAGGTGCTCGCGGCTGGCGCACCAAAGTGTGACACAGTGCTGACTATGATCTTGTCAGAAAAGCCTCGGCCGTCCGGAGAGGGATGGA